ATATCCAAACAATCAATAACAGAAGAATATATCCTAGTCAAGTTAAGGAGTGTGTCAAAGTGTGATCCCCAACGAGTATCACAAGGCCTTTTGAGGCCAACTTCTTGATTCAACTCTCGCCCAGTCTCAAGTTCACCATGATATAAAGCCTCAACAACTTTAGCAGCTTGACATTCTCGAATTTTGTCCATTCGTTTACACGATCCTCCAACCAAATTAATCAAGTCACTCACAGCCTTAAAGAAGCCACCAATGTCACCATGATGTCTAGCAACTGCAACAAGAGTTAACTGAAGTTGATGAGCAAAACAATGAACATAATATGCTGATGAATTTTCTGCCAAAATCAAAGTCTTGAGTCCATTGATTTCCCCACTCATATTGCTTGCCCCATCATAGCCTTGTCCTCTTATTTTTGACAAGCTCAACCCATTTGTCACAAGCATTGATTCAATTTCCATCTTAAGAGTCAATGCTTTTGTATCTGCAACATGGGCAATCCCAAGAAACCTTTCCATCACATATCCTTCTTCATTCACATATCGCAACACAATAGCCATTTGCTCTTTGATTGATGTATCACGAGCTTCATCCACCAAAATAGAAAAAACATCATCACCAATGTCGCATATGATTTGCTTGGTTACTTCAGTTGCGATTGCATGTACAATATCCTTTTGTATGTCTGGAGAAGTCATTTGAAGGTTCTTGGGAGCATTTCTCAACACAACACGTTCCACATCTTTTCTACCACGAGCATGAAATTTCAGAAGTTCAATAAAATTTCCTCTATTCTTTGAACACTCTGATTCATCATGTCCACGAAGTGCTTGCCCTTGGCGTACACAATGTCTGATGCAGTCAATTGAAGCTTGCAAACGAATTTTATAATCCATCTTTGCTTGATCTGATTGTTTAAATAAAGAAACTCCAATGCTTTGAGACTGCTTCAACAAGTCCTCACATTTTCTCACAGCTTTGTTGTGTTCACTATTGACATGTCCAACATGCTTCTCAAGACCCTCATCTCCTCTATTCCAAGCTCTAAAGCCCTTAGAAATGAAAGAAGCACCTCCACCCTTCTTACCATCATCGCTCCTAAACAAATAGCAATGCAAACAATATGCAGCATCCTTTGCAATACTATATTCCAACCAATGATATTTTTTGTACCAAGAAGACTTAAAGCTTCGCAAGGTTCCCCCTATATCTCTAGATGGAAAAGCATGATCAGGTTGACAAACACCTTTTTGAAGATAATGTCTTCTAATCATATCTTGAACATTAGGATGAAATAGTGCTACTTGTTCTCTTAACCCCGGATCAGCTTTCAAAGAGTTCACATCAAGTTCATTCTCTCTAGATGCAATGCTAGTCATAGAGTGATTTACCGAGAGAGGTTGTGACACTGATGGCGTAGAAGGAGTTGAATTGGAATCCTGTCCATGTGCTAATGAATTCAATCCACTATTTTCACCTTCAGGAGTATTCGTGGTTATTCGAGGCTTCTTTGGATAATACCTCTCCATAATAGCAAATCTACAAATTCAAAACCAAAGTACACAATAAATCAAATAGGATATTTGACACATAATCAAACAATAAATCAAAAATATGCTCTCAACCAATAAATCAACTCTCTGTTATAGATTCCCAATCCATACAGCCAACTCTAAAACCTAATTCTCAATAACTAAACTAAAACCAACTCTAAAACTCTGCTCGAAAATCTCATGGACATAATTAAACAAATAAAGGTGGAATCTTTCGACAAAACCCAGTTCATATAAAACCCTAACTCCCTCAATCAAATCCATTTGGCTACCTCCGCTCCTTCAACAAACAAGCATCATTACACTAACCCAACAAAGAAACTAGAAAGAAAACAACTATTTGACAGAAAATTTCCCCTTTCCTCTGTACACTAATCTCATGAACACTCACCAATGAGAGGAATTGGAGTCGGAATTGGAGTTGAAGATAGAGACTATGCAAGATACGGTGGTTGACGAATGACGATGGTCACTCGAGCAACCAGCGGAGGAATGAACGAGTGGAGCCTTGAGGGAGGAGCGCCATTTTTGCTTCGTACAGGGGAGAGGGCCGACCGCGTACAGGGGAGAGGGACGAGGAAGATTGGCAGTAATAGAATTAGGGTTCGGATGGGGAAATAGACTTGGTCGTTTAAATTTAAGTGAACTAACATGTTACAGAATGATAAAATTAGTTAAATGCTAATAATGACACAACAACAAGTAAGTGGCGTGATGGCTGAAGCTGTTTGCGGATTAAGGGAGGTCACCAGTTCGAAACTCCATCCAGCAGGTGTAATATATATATATTTTTACTGCCCCTTGCCAGCCCAAGGGGGTGCAGCCGACCTCCCTTGGGTGGCTGTGCCTCCGCCACTGATGGTGTCGCTGCCGTCTCCAATTCGAACGGCGATAATCCTTCCGGTGGTGTAAAACACCAGCTCGATCTTCTGCGTCCTGTGCTCTAGGTTCCGCCATAACTGCTTCTTCTTTTCCCACCACTGCCGCTCTTGATTTCGATCCCTACCTTCGATGATTCTATGTTTCCTGCTCTGTCCCCACGATTGAAAGCGCCACATCTGGAGTTCTCTCGGCCGGGCAGCATGGGAGAGTCAGAGTTTGGGCGACACCGTTGGACCGCATGTTCCCCTCGACGAACTCGCCATGCCGCCGTCGACGGTGGTGGTCGCGAAGCTCAGCTGCTTACGAAGGATTCCTGGAAGAAGAAGCTTTTGAATCGACACCGACGAAAAAGAGAATGCAGACTGGTTTGAATCGGCTTCGGCGCCGGAAGAAAGGGAAAGCGAAAGGATAAAGAAGACGAGAGATCTGGAAGGGTTGGGGTCTTTGTTTATTTTATTTTAATTTATTAATTTTAGTGAGTTCACGTTTTTACCCCTATTGTTACTATAACAATACTATTGGTGTTGTTATAGTATCCTGACCTGTTGAACTCCTAGTCATGAATAAGCTCCTTATAAGGAAGTTCGTTTGACAATTAGCTTGATTGATTTGCCTCTAATTGTGTTTAATTTAGACAACATTTGATTTGGGTTCGGAATTTTTTTTTCCCGTGTGAAAACGATCGCATCTCCATATAAAATTATATTAATATTTTATGACATTATGGTGGAAATCAGGCTGTCTGACTTTGTCTCTTTTGTCATTCACTTAGATATAGAGCATTAAGATCATGCATACCTGTTAAAATTCAGGTTTTAAGACAAAAATAGTTTTTTCCCCCTCAGTTATTGTCTAATTTTTGTGCGGTGGATCAAACAAAATTGTTCATTTTTTTTATCAACATAGAATGCTTGATCCGAATCGTACCGAATCAGTACGTACAGACGTGGTTGGATCTGAACTGTATAGTATTTTATCTGATTCCTAATCTGTATTTCATCCTCTCGATCTAGATGATAAATCGTATATATAATCTGATCTGGATCAGACCATACGGTTTCTCGGCCCTACCTTATATAAGGATATGTAAAAGTGGCAATTTTCAATCCAATCCAATTCATCCACTAAAATATTCAATTATTACGATCCATTTGACCCAAATCCAATTGGTTAGGTGGATTATGGTTATATGGTAAGTTGAAATTTAATACCTATAATTTACATTCTGATATTTAAAATTAAAATTTTTAACATAAATATTGAAAATTTATGTTTTGGTATCCAAAGTATTCAAATTTTATATCTTAGTATCTTAACTTTAAAAATTTACATATTGATCTAATGTTTAGATGTCACTTAGATCCATGATCTAATCCACCAATCTATTTGATCCAATACATAATCCATAAATCCATGAATCCAATCCACCAATCTAAAAATTCAATCCATTTGCCACGTTAGTGAATTCCATTAACACTAGACTCTAGTGAAATATTAAGCGGAGGGGTATCAAGATTTGTTGAAAATGATAAAAGTGATAAAGTATTAGGGTACCTCTCGGGGCTAGAGTACTTAGGGGAGGGGTTGCCTCACCATACTTTTCCGCTGTTTCTTAAACGTTTGATGGCCTTAATTCAGCAGCCGACGCTCTTCATGGCGGTCGTTGCTGTCCTTTGGCGCATCTGGCGGTCGAGAAATTGGGTGGTGTTTGAAGGGAAGCAGTTTGGGTTCCCCGCGTTGATGAGGCAGTTTTCCCAGCAGTATGAGGAGTGGGTGGGGCTACCAGTGGATGTGCCTCACATGCCTCCTCCCCCGATGGTTCCACGGTCAGGTGGGTCAGGGCAGGCTGCAGGGTTTACTTGCCAGTGGGACGGGGCTACCAGGAAGGGTTCGCATTCAGCAGGTGGCATGGTTCTTCTGTCTCCCTCTGGGGATGTTCTTATGGCTCACGGGATTCAGTTTCAGGGGATTGATGATCCAGTGGTCGTGGAGTTGCTAGTGCTCCGGGAGGCTATTACTTGGTGTTTGGGGCAGGGGTTTACGGGGATGCGCTTCGAAGGGGATGCTAAGATCGTCATTGATAAAATCAATTGCAAGGATGTTAGGGACAACCGGATGGGCTCCGTTTTGGAAGAAGTCTTACAATATTTTCGTAACAGCCCAGGGATTAGTGTGCGGTTTATAGGTCGGAGTAGTAATAGGGCGACCCATTTGGTGGCTAGAAAATCCCTCTCTTTGTACCCGACCATGAGTCGTTTTTTTGATTTTCGGACCTGGCTTGGTTACAGGGTGTAACTATCTATGTTTTGGTATCAATATATGATTATCTTTTATAAAAAAATAAAAAAATAAAGTATTAGGGTAGGTAGGAATGAAAATGACAAATTTTAGCAAAATACGTGGAGATAGATACCCCGTTACGACTTCTAACACCGCGTCAGGCTGTACGGACTCCCTCCGTTACGCATGGGACCTAGATGTTAACAATAGAAGTAAGAGGACTAAATAGGTAATCATGTAGCGAAATTAGCAGTAAATGTTTCATCACACTGGAGTTGTGGAAGGGAAAGTGAATCAGTCCACTTTCTTTCTTACATTCTCGAGCCGTTCCGGGCGTCACAGACTGACCCTCCCGAGTCCCGTCTCAAACCCTTGCCGCCGGTCGCCTCGAGTCCCGTCAAAGCTCCTCTCCATTCTCCGGTCACCGTTGTGCTGCACCATCGCCTTGCGCTACCTCCTCTTTCCTCTATTGCCTCGCTTCCCGCTCTGTTCCCTAGGGTTCTAAGGACTCGCGGAACCTGCAAAAACAAGATGTCAGAAAGAGACGGAATAGGGTTGCACGAAGACAGCGAGGCCATGGTGACAGAATTAACTGGACTGGAAATCACTGTTGGAGAGGCAAAGAAACGGAAAAGGAGTTCGAGCATGGTGCGCCGTGACGATTGCCAGGTTGCCGTCGGGGAAAGACTCTACAAGAGAGTATTGTTATCACTAGGCAAGCCATCGTATGTGCTTGGACTTTCCGCAAACAGCTTGCGACCTGACAACCGTATCAAACTCAGATTGATCTTGAAGAAGTTGGTGAGGCAGCACGATTGGGTAGCAGCAAGTGGAGTGCTGAGCGTGTTGTTGAACGGGACGCAGAAAGAGAGCTGTCCTGCCGCAAATCGGTTCAAGTATTGGGTATAATTTGCTTACAAAAATGGAATCGATGATGTTAATTGTCTGCTGTTCTGTGGTGTTAGGTTAGGATAAAGAATTGAGAGGTGCATTACCTGAGCTAGACTAGTTGTATTTGATTTCCTTGCCATTTCAATATGATCATTTCATTTATGGATTAAGTAGGGTAGCTGTGCTGTTTACACAGTAGATGTTAGATTCTCATTAGACCACTACATGATTTGTGAATTTGAGTTGTGATACTGGTCTTTGTAGGAGTAAATGGTAAGAGTTATTAACTCTTGATAAGTTCAATGTCTCGACTCTTGAGCAGATAGCTTGGTGCACTGTCTTTGTTCTTGTTGACTGTTCTGGTCTGAAGAAGATGTTAAGCCTATTGAACTGCTGCTCTGTTCGTAAGTGTTGCTTCTGCAACATCCGGAATGTAACGTTTAATTATGTATATTTGTTGAACGTTTAGGTCTTCATGAAGCTTGTTCAGCATATGGAGGGTGATTGTCTAAATGCTACCAGTATCGATCGCGTGTTTAGTGCGTGGATGTCAAGGATAGGTAGTAATGGATCACATCGAAGAAGGTCTGGTTCTATGGAAGAGGTGATGATTTGTAATCAATCTTGTGGGTTACCTCAATTCATCTACTGTGTTCACCGTGATGTTCAATATACTAGTTCTGGCCTTTTCTCTTACGTATCCCTCTAGCATAGCTGTCATTTGTTAATTGGTCAAAGTCATTTTTTGCGTACCAGGATCGTATTGCTGTTCAATTGGAGTCTATCCTTTTGCATTTTAGGCAAGGGGACGTTGAGGGGGAACTCAACAACGCTACAAGGTATTGCAACTCATGTATAGTTTTGTAGATGTTCAAATTAACATCCCCCCAGATTTGTGTGTGAATGGTTTGTACAAGCTAATGAAACTTTTAGCTAAAAGGCAGTATGGGCTGATCCTTGATTTTAACAGACTTTCTTTTCTTCATTTTGACTGTTCATTTGAAGAATTATTGAACAGTTCCATAATTCATTATCAGCATAACAAAATAATGAAACTGCATTTACATTGCATATATTTAGTTTATGCAGAAAATGTTAGTTATGCATTTTGATTTTTCCCGCTAGTCATAGTTCACGTGATTAAACAGCTTTATTGTAGCCATGAACAAATTGCTCTCTCTTTGACCTGGATTCCCTCTTCTCAGCTTAGTGCAGGAGTACAAATTTGAGAGTTACCCAATGTTCAACATGATTATTGGCATGATATTTTATCAGTTGTGGTACTCTAGCATTTCAGAAGATATGCAACTCGAGGACTCGAATCAAATGTATTGTACTATCCCTTCAGACATGGAAGCTTGCCATCCAAATTCAGTTGTAGCTTCAGGGTTTGTTAGTGACATTGGTGGCTCTGAGGGATGTAATTCAGTTTTCAGTGATGACGCTAATGTATCTTTAAAATGTGGGTCAGAGACATCCATCATGCAACATAAACAAGTTTTTGCTGGCAATGGTATGAATTTGGATGAAGAAAAGATTCATACAGAAGATGATGTCAATCAGTTCAGCAAAAGTTACCCTGGGGACTTCCAGCATAGGGGCCTTTATGCCAATTCTGCTGATGAGGTTTCCTCTGATCATCATGGGGAATTTGGCTTGCCTATCCTTGGTAATTGATATGCCTGATAAAAATACATTTTCATTGCCACAATATATATTCTCAGCTGTAGATAATTTGATTGGATTGAAGTTTTGAATTTGGTAAACTTTTGGTCAATAGGTTCCTATAATGTTTGTTAGGATTCTGTCTTAGGTTACAAATATTTCTATGATTGGCTTCTAGATAATTTGAATCCATGTGAAATATCAGTCATGCTATATCGTGAAATTGTAACACGTAAATGAAGCTTTTGGAGTACGGTTATTTACTTGACAAAACACATTACTAGAAATTAATCACCTTAACTACTCAGTATAGTGGTATAAAAATGCAACTGATACGAAATTGAATCGAGTTGTGTGAAAGCCTTCTACTTGAAGTTGTCAATGCTTGTATATTCTTCATTGATATTGTCGTGGTTACGTTGGTGTTCTGAAGGGAATCTGGATCTTTGGTTGAGGCCATTACAAGCTGATGATAGTGAGTTGGATCAAGTCATCCGGGATGGTCAATACAATGAAGCTGTGAAGTATTTATCGAGAGCTGCATCCTCAACTCCACCTATACTGGCAGCCTTACTTCCTTTAGTTCAGGTACTGTTATGTACACTGATTGTACTTGCCTGTGGAATCTTATCTCATATTTACTTGACCTTATGTTTGAGGAAACATTTGTTTTTTCTTCAGATGTTCTAAATCTAAATTCAAAACAGAAACTAATATGATTATTTTCATTTTTGCTAGTTGTTGCTGATAAGGTATGACTGTAAAGAGGCTCTAGATATGCTGGAAAACTTCTGTGACAACTCAAGCGCCTCACTTCCCCATAGGTATTTTCTGGTATTTCTCACGATTCAGACTTGCCTCTTATAAAACAGGAACACCCAAAGATGTATTTTCTCCTTAAAAAAAAAAGATGTATTTTCTCTTTATAGGAACCGTGGCTATCATGTGTGCTAGGATCTAGGGTATGCTTTCCATTACCAGTAGCAGTACTAGTCCACAATTGTCTATGCTTGCCAGTGTAGATCCTTGATACTTGTGGTAAATATTGATTCCATAAAAATGCTTGTAGCTGCAAGCAATGAAGCTTTGTATGTTCAAACTCTTTTCTTATATTACAGGAGAGATACGAAATGTCTCTCTTCTTTGTTTGCCGTTTAGCTTACTGCCTCGGTGCCACTCTGTTTGAACTGTGGGATTTGTTGGTTATTGGCGTTGTTGGTTCTTCTAAAATCATTATCTATTTTGGGATTTGTTGGTTATTGGCGTTGTCTTTTCTTCTAAAAACATTATCCATTTTGGGATTTTGATAACAGACTGAAGTCCTGTATCTTGGAGCGGATTGATCCGAACAATGCTGTCTTGCTGTCAAGATGCTATGAGGACACATTAAAGAGTGATCCTACATGTAACCAATCATTGGCAAAGCTTGTGAGCCTACATCATCAAGGTTTGTCATTCATCCTCTGTCATGTTAAGAGAATAAACAGACGCATGCCAATTTTTCATGGTTTCCACTGGTGTTACATTGTGCATAGGAATCTATGATTCGGCATCCCTACTGGAAATGATAGCTCTGCATTTAGAAGCCGCAACCGGAGAAAAGAGTACCTGGAAGGAGCTGGCTTTATGCTTTCTCAGAGCGTCTCAACAAGAAGAGGATCAAATGTCCGGTATCCATGGGAATGGGAGCGAAGTTCCAAAACAACATTCCATTAGTTTTCCTAGGGTTCCCAGTTTCCTTATAAATGGAGTATCCGGAAAGTCATGGAGACTAAGATGTAGATGGTGGATGAATAAGCACTTTAGCAAGAGCATGCTTGCATCCGAAATCAACGCAGGTATATTTATTTCAGCAGTGCTGCATAAGAAGTAATTTGCTTGATATTTTGAATGGCGCTTGATCTGAAAACTTCCTCTTTACTCCTTTGCAGGTGACGCGCAGATCGTAGCTTACAAAGCAGCTTGCGCATCTCATATGTACGGGAGTGAGGCCAAATATGTTGTCGAAGCTTTTTGTTATGTACGTAAACAGAGTGATAGAGAGTCGATTTTGTTCTTGAAAGAGCACATGCGAAAGGCCATAGGACTTGATCAGACATTTTCAGCCAAGAACTTGAAAAAGTAAAGGATCTAATATATAATACATATTAGTCTCCAGGACATTTGTTTCTTCTCACTCGAACCCTCTCACCATTGAAGTGGATGTACTTCCAGTCAGGCAGGTATCTTTGCAGAACCAACTTCTGCTTCTCTTTGTCCCCTAACATCTTGAAGGCACGAGCCACTTTCCTTACTGTATCTTCATCAGGCCGTATGCCCAGCTCCTCCATATCCGCAAACACCTACAACAATCAATCACAATTCCGGCCATACGATTTCTGTTGTTCTCGATACAATCAGAAAGCATGCAACACATCTGTTTATTCACTGGGTATTAGATAGATACCTCTATCATCCCATTTTGCTTATCGTGGTGATCATATAGAGAAATCATCCTCGCAAACAAGCGTTTTGGAATCGAGCGCTGGTGTATATGCAATACCATGCCCCATAGTGTTTCTGCTTCATCGACTCTGCCATCCATGTCGAACGCCAGCAGAAGGGTGTCGTACGTTCCCATTGTGTCTCCTTGACCCTTGCTCAACATCCACTTGGCAACCTGAATAGAAGTGAAAAGATTACTTTACTGCACAGTAACCCTAATGCTCATCGCCATGTAAATCTCACGAGAGGGGGAGATAATTCCCATACTTGAATTACACGCTGCCACTGAGCCTTCTTCCTCAGTATCTGTAAAGCTTTAGCAGCTGCAATTAGGGGGAACTCCGTCTCCCAAGCTGTCCACTTATCCAATGCTCCATAAACAGCCTCTTTCTCATTGGGAAGTTCGGAAACCTGACCATCCAACATCACAAAGTCAGGCAGCAAACGAATCGAAAACTTATGCCGCCATTTTTCTAGAACAGGTAGAGCAGCATACAATTCTAACAAGATTGAGAGCCTTTGTTCCGGATCCAGCCGAATCCCTCTTCTTCCACAGCTGTTGATCTCTGTTCTTCACTTTCTTGGTTATTTTCCTGCACATATGTGTAGTTGTAGGATAAATTATTGAAGCAACCATCACTAGGTATTAAGAGCTATACATTGATTCTGTGGGAATAAACCTCCAACGTCAGTACTGAGCAGGAAATCACCTACTCTGATCAGCTCCAGAATCAACTCTACCCGAGATACTGCAACGGATTCGAAACTCGCAACTTGAAATTGTAGAGATGTGGGACGGTGGCAACCAATTTGGCCTAGCAGGCATAACCATGGAGCTCGAAATTGCATATACAGCGCCTGGATTCATCTTTAATCTGAGTCAGATAGGAACACAATTCTGTACACTAATCATTTATCGAAAACCCAGTTGCTACGTTATTCCACAAAGTCAGGCAACTTCTGGTGGTTTTCCTTTCATAGTTTTGTTCTTCCTCCCGCCATTTATGCTACCTCCGAATTCACAATTCTAACGAGTAACTAATGAGGGAAACAGAAACCCAGAACGGACAAGGAATGGTAGAGATTACCTTGGAGCTACAGAAGAGTTCTGGTGAAGGCTGCGAACAGAAGTGCAAGAAGAGGATGGCGTTGCTCACCGCGACGGCGACAGAGACCTGAGAATGGACTGGAGAAGCAGAACAGACGGGGAGAAGAAGCCAAAGTTGTAGAGGTAGATAGAATTGAAGGAAAGGGTCGAACAAGAATCCGGGTGGATTTAATTTGACCCAGCCCATAGGATCTATATAATTATTGGGCCGGACCATGCTATCCAGCGGATATCATTCACCGTGTTTATGGGTTACTCACTTTATTTGGGTCTGCTAACGAAAAATAGATTTTTATTTTATTATTGAGAGTAGATTTATCTTTTCTTAGTAGAACGACTATAGTCCTAAAATGCATACAAAATTTGGGCAATGGATGAAAGTTTTTATTAACGTAAAATGTATTAACTTGTGAATTCGAAAAAATTTACATAAATAAATGAGATTTGACAAATTCCATATACCAACTGACTGATTTAAACTAATTTTGTTGCTATTCCAATTATGCTAAAATTAATCATTTTTCCTTTTCTATTTTCAAAAATTTTTAATTGCCTTAAAAGATAGCCTCACCTATACTTTATTTTTTATTTTATTTTATTTTTGTAATTATATTAACTAGTCTAATTGTCAATGAAAAAAAGGTTGGTATAATCTCTTTTTTGGGCACAAAGGAGAAGAGGGAGGTCGAATGAACAAAGAGAGTTACTATTCTGCATATTAAAAAATAAATAAACATAGACTAAACTACACATAAATTAATATTTAGTTCGAATAGTGTTTTTATATATATATATATGAAGAAAAATTGAGCCACACACTTGCTGTTTAGGGAGGTCATGGTTATCGACTCGTCCTTATTGTTCATGACTTGTCTGACCAATTTATAGCTCGTTTTAAGGCCGTCCGAAACTTAACACGTAGTTTGGAATGAGACTTAGTCGAACCGACTAGTCTAATTTTAAAGAGAGATGTAGTTTTCAACTATGTGTACACTTTATCTTGGAAACCTTCTTCAACATGTGGCGTCCATTTATCAGCCTCTACTTAACCAGAGGAGGAATTGCTTCTGTTAGCGCCATGAGAAGGAGGAGGAGAGGAAGTCATCGGAGGAGCAACGAGGTTGCCTTCACAATCGTACGAAATCCTGCCGGAGAAATCCAGCTGCCGGCACCGGTCGCCCATTATGATCGACTTCCTCCAAACCTCATCGTCATCATCATCATCGTCACCATACGACGCCGTTGTCCTCCTCCACGTCATCTTCTTGGCCATCAAACGCGCCTTGCTGCTCAGCTTCCACAGCAGCTTCTTCTCCCTCTCCCCCCCTCCCGCTGCTGACGTGGAACCGCAGAGAAACGTCACCGCCGTCACGACCGCCGCCGCCACGGCCACGCAGTACAGCGAGATGGACAGGAACGACGTCGTTGAGAGGTCGCTGAGCTGGATGGTAACGGCCACCGTTAGTAAGAGAGGTCTTCGCGCCATATATATAATTCGTTCTCTCAGCTCGCTCGCTATATATTTGGATTCTTGGTTGTTTTGGACGGTGTTTATGTATTTATACACACACCCGCACGCTAGAAGAAAAAAGGGCTGTTTTTGGGTGATTCACTGATTTGGTAAAGAAAAAAAGCATGATTTTGCTAATTATTTTGTCAGAATGTAAGAAACATAACTAATCACCATAAAAGCTTATATTTTTGGCAAGATATCATACAAGATTACAATATGGGTGTAACGTAATTGATTGATCCGTAAAATTAATTGACAGGAAACAAAATAATCTGTTGATCGTATCTTACTCAACCAAGTGTGTCGTTATACGAATTTTTCAATTAGAGAGAAAAAAATTGTTGTAAAATAGTAAGGTGTTTACATTTTTGTTAAAGAAGACGTCTAATTAATCAGTTCCATCTGATCGACTTTGAACATCGTATCAAAATTATGTCGTAACTGCTGACTTGTGTTGAAATGGATGATTCACTTGGCCGTTCACAACAAGTTGAGAAGGACCATTGACGAATTGACTTCCCAACGTATTTGGAGGGCCACAAAAATATGTTAATTTGGTTAAAGCCGTCTTTTCCCGCACGCAATTTGGAATATATGTATGTAAATGTCCGCTGAAGACTAGGCCCCATAGATGGAAGGATCACCAATTCACCATTGCTTGCTTTCAACCCCAAGGAAGGATTATTGGACAAGCTAGCTTCCAAGCAAAGACATAAACATCACTAGAAGAATCGCATTGTATATAATCAAAATGAGTGAAAAGATTGAGTTCATTTTCCAATTACGTGGTTGAGGATTGAATACTGATCTCAAACTGTATGTTCCAATTCTAACGAGCCACGTCTAGTTATGACATAAAATTTGAAATGATTGTATAAATTGCTGAGTCCTGATTCGAATGGAACCGGAATCTGATACCACTTGATGTGTATAAACAATTAAGATGATTAATTATGAAACAAGGTTCAATTCGGCTCGACCAGCTGACTAATTTGCACAAATATTCCAACGACCAAATTCGAGAAACCCGAAAAGTAGTAACAATAATGGTGAGAAATTGTGCATACACATCACATACTTCTCCACCATCTTCGAAGATTGGCCCCAAAGGGCTAGAACTAGAAACCTGCACAACTTCATTTTGTAGTGGTGGAGGAGGTTGCCCACCCTTCTTTCATAGTACTCAAACAATTCGACAAGTACATCATTAAACTTTCTACCAATTCATTTTTCCTTGTATTCCCATATAGTAGGGGTGGGCATTCGGTCGGTTCGGTTTCGACCGAACCGAAATTATGAATACCGGGTCCCCGAATTCTCTCAAACCTCAAACCGAATTCGAACCGAATTATAATTCGGTTCGGTCGGTTTAAACCGAATTATAATTTGGTTCGGTTCGGTTTTTCACCCAAAACCGAATTTGTGAAGCTACTTGTATTTTCTCACTTTTAAATTATTTTTCACCCCTAATATAAACAAGAAATATCAATTATATGCATCATCAATGATAAAATCAAACTTTTCAACACATAAGTCATAAAACATTTCAAATATTTAAGTCTAAAAACAACTACAAACATAGAAATCCACCATTTGGAGCTTGCAATTATAGTATTTCGGTTTTTCGGTCGGAAATTCGGAAATTCGGTTCGGTTGAAAGAACCCTGATTTCCGAACTATCCATATTTTCCTTCCGAATTCCGAACCGAATAACATTAATTCGGTTTCGGTTCGGTTCGGTTCGGGTTTACTGAACCGTTTGCCCACCCCTACCATATAGCTTCTTGATAATATTTCTCCGATTTCTCAGCTTGAAGCTCTGATCAAGTACAACATCTACGTGAATCGACCTATTCGATTTAAGTTTCATCTCCTCCCACTCATACCAATACTTTCCAAACTCCCCTTTCATTTTTCTTATCGTCCTAACATCATCATCATCATTGATACAAATCATTCTACTAAAATGGTTGAATACATCACCAATTGCTTTTAATAACCTGAGAAGTGGAAGTAAGGTAAAATCCTGTAAAACTTGAGATATTTCAACAACACACTTTGATCAAAATGTTGTGAGATCATCCCCCCCCCCCCCCCCCCCCATTTTGTCCTTCATTATAATTTCAACATGATTTTCATGTTGTGAGATTTCATTAGGCCGAGGGAGTGGGGTTTTGTTTTGGTCCATTACGGTTTACACAATTTATCACGGTTGACATTGAATCGGACCAACCACATCATATATTAGAGGGGGGGCCGAGGACTGCCCACCCAACCGAACTATGGCTCTCAGTCTTCTTGTCTGGACTATCGCGTTGTCCGATCTATACCACGCTCCCCATACGATTTGGTTCGGATTCCCACCCTAGTAAAAGTTTGGAAAGGTACAAATAATGGTCCATGGTTACTAGCAAGGTTTGGTCGACGAGATACAACCTAGCTAGCTACTCATGGGTGAATTGAGTTTATCTTTTTCCCCTTAGTTTATACTAATATTAGAAACAACAAAGTACACTTTAGAAAAGAGTTTTACCGATGAAAAAGCGGGGAAAAAACGATTGTTTAATTACCATACATTACTTGATGGCTTCTTGCATCACGTTGTGAAGGAAAAGAAAAGAAATAAAACATGTAGGAGACTCCTTTCGTTTAGGTAAAAACAGGAAAGCGACAAATAAAGAAAGAAACTATTTTTAACGTGTATGCAAAAACCAATCTTCTCCATTAATAGATTGTTCTTCACCTACATATATTTTACCTTCGAAATTTCAACCAAACCGTCTAGAATTTCCTTCCCCCCATTCGATCATTTCGCCCACCCAACAGGCTAGCCATGATGATGAAGATGAAGAACAAGAACGTCGTGATCATGGTGCTCGCTCTAACGATCGCCATGTCCGTTCTGTTGAAGGATAATGAAGTGAGTGCGGAAGAGACGACCGTGATCTCCCCGGAGGTGCTCGACCCTTGCTTGGGCCCCGACGCCGAGAAGATCCCCGGCTGTGACAAGCACAAGGACGGAGACAAGCCAGAAGATCACGACGACGATCATCGCGACGACACTCATCACGACGATAACCATGATGATAATAGTGATCCCATTCACAATGTTGACAAAGTTGGTCAAGCAGCGAACCCGTACACTCGTGGCTGCCTCAATTCCATGCGATGCCGTACATAAATGTGAACCAAAATATATATGGGGACTTTCGATGAATGCTTATACATACAATTTTTTTTTATGAATGAATAATTCGTCAATACAATTTATGTAAGAATTGTTTATTATCGATATAATGTACTAAGTTACTATAATTAAGTTGGGTCTTTGCACCGGGATGAATTTACGTTTTACAACGAGTTTTAATTCGTTTGAAGTGGTATTACATATATATGTTTGTAGTACGTGGTACATAATTTTTTTAGAACAAATGAGCAACACACATGCAATCGTGTAGTGGAAATACTCCGAAATGTCAAATGTGTATAAAAACCACTGCTTTTCTAATCAGATTTTTAAATGAACCCTGACGTCGTCATGCCCCTATTGCATTAGGGTCCATGCAGCAACATCTAATTCGACACAGAACGGAGACAAGCAATAGATTCTAAACAACATTCATTAGACAAAACTGGAATTTGGGTCCTCGATGATTTTGCCAAAAGGTAATAAATTCATTGTTCAACAAATGGATCGATTCTTAAGATCAAATATAAACTAGATGGCCGTGTTGAGTGTTGACAAGTACAATTGTACAAAGTTAGATTAGCGGCTAAAAGACATACTCAAACTCCTGTTGTTAGATTACGCTGACACTTCTCTCTTGTTTTAAAAATGACCACTATCAGGAATCAGTGGTGGTCTGTTTGGAGGGCAATTATGAAAGTGGAGTCTAAGTTCTGGAGGTTTGCTTACGTCGATCCGGGGGAGGTGCTTGGGTTTTCTTCTGGCAGGATCGTTGGTACCAAGACGTGACCTTTGGTGAAGTTTTTCCTCGAGTTGCTTCCGTATCCGCTCACCCTGACGGTTGGATTTCTGACTTTGTATCCTTTTCTTCTGAGGGTGTGAGGTGGGATCTTCCTTTGAATTTTTGAATATTACTTTGAGAGGGGGGGGGGGGGGGGTTTGAGAGGTTGAGGATTGATTTACTAAATTTCTTGTCAAATATACCTGTTGGTTGGATTTCTTCTGGTCCTTGGAGGTTGGTGTGGAAGCCTAACCCCAGATCGGGATTCTCAATTCGATCCATGTACAAGAGCTTGTGCTCGAAGAAATTCCTAGCCATCCCCAACTTTCCTGCAAAGGCTATTTGGCGTGCTCAGGGGCCTCTGAAAATCAGCAGCTTCCTTTGGTTGATCTTCCACAAGCATATTCTCACTCATCACAATCTGAGACGACGAGACTGGAATATAGTGAGTCGTTGCACGCTGTGTGAGGCTGAGGTGGAAACGATTAATCACCTTTTCAGAGAATGCAATTTCAGCAACAAAAATTGGTTCACTTTTCTCCAGATTCTGAGGGTGTGCGGACCTCAGTTTGAAGAGATGCAGATGTTGATCCGAAGCTGGCCTACTGGTGATCCTTCATCTTGGCTTGATTGGTTTACTCATCTCTTCATGCATGCCTATACGTGGGAGGTGTGGAAAGAGAGAAACGACAGGTCGTTCAATGACACAAATCATACATGACAGACCATTTTTGTCAAGAATATTGGCAAGAATCTCCTAAGATGGATCTCGGCAGCGGGTTTGATCACCGAGCACGACAACAAGAAATGGTTAAGGCTTCTGTTCCAGGCTTGTCCTGCTGAGCAGGAATCCAGGAATAAAGTCATTAGTCGAGTTGCAGACTGTAGGGTTTGTTTGTTTGAGGCCTTCTGTGTTTGTGTTCGGCTGGGTTTTTTTTTTCCGGTAACTGAAAGGGATGTTTTTTTCCTGTGACCAGCAGGGGTGGTCTGTTCCCCTGTGATGTCTCGTTTGGGTTCAATTCTTGTGAACCTTTGAACTTTTTTGTTCTTTTCTCCATTAATATAATTGTCACTCTTATTAAAAAATGACAACTATCAGAACTCTTTTTAGCAGCAAGCCTCAATTGATTTATCGACCAACTTAATATAACCAATACAGTCAAAATTACGATTTTACGTAGACACGATTTAGTGACCAAGATGCGTTAAACATAAGTTTTTAAGTTTTAAAACGTAAATTTTGACTACACTTGTAAGTGAGAAAAATGCAATTCTACGTAAAAGCATTTTGATGATCTGAAAGTGTAAAAGCGTAAACTTTTAAACATTAAAACGCGAATCGACTACATGTAACAACACCATGCCTCCACTGATACTCCACAACTTTACAAGTCTATATCGATTAAATTGTTTTAATGGATAACTCAAAATAAAAAGAAGGGTAAAAACACCGTTGGAACAAGGCTTTCACACTAATTATAGCCTTCCTTGACATGGAAGTAGCTAGGTCTACTTGTATTCTTCTGGCTTACACATGATTCACTAGTGTTATAAACGCGCTGCTACGAATCGGGAAATCGCCGGAATCGACAAAGCAAGAATACGAAAGCGAGAATCAAAAACACGACACACGATTTACGTGGTTCACTAACACAATGTGTGTTAGCTACGTCCACGGGCAAGAGAGAGCCGATTTCACTATATCAAGGAGATTACAGAGGAGTATGAGAAGTATTTATAGTACTTCTTCATGTGGGTCTAAACCTAATCCAATCTGCCAAAGAAAACGGTTACAGACCAGGCCCAGAACCCGATTACCAGTCGCAGCGGCTGATAGTCCTATTCAAGTCACACCAACAACTAGTTCCAAGCCTTCTTCTTCCACACCATCCCCCCAACACTACATCTCAATGGCACAGAAGGAATACCTATGGATGAAGCAAACATTTCCAGTTACACAAAGCTTACTTGGTAGATTTCAGTAGCTTTGCAACACCAGACCGTACACATGTTTTTCAGTCAAACCAGCTATGTCACAATTCCCAGGATGCTACCACCACTATTCATGAATTGATCGAGCTCATTGCCCAGAGAGTACTAGACGTTTCATCACTGGATTCTGTGTCTTCCTTGGCATATCTCACTTGTCAGTTACAAATCAAAGCAGCAACAAAATATCTCCAAATTATCTGCCAAATCAAAGCCGGGGGAAAATTAAAACGAACCCTTTTATTAATTGTGGAACACATACACAAGGAAGTACAGTTTCTGAAGAGCAGTAAATTGTACATTTTATTAAACAAAAGCAACAACGGAAACCAAATTAAGCACAGCGCGTAGTCGATCACATTCGTAGTTACTACTACTATTACATATGTGGTTAATAAAATCACTCATCCAGATCAGATGGGGATGGCATTGGTGACGGAAGGGTAAACGACGGTGGCCGGATGGGCCATGATCCTCCTCCCTTTCCGGTGCCTGAATATGTAGACGAACGCCCCCAGCGGCCACTCCACCACCGCCGCCGCCGCGAACGCCAGAAACCCCACCGTCGGTCCCACCACCTTGCACCGGCACGGGTTGCTCCTCGTCCCGCATTGCACGCACAACGGCACTCCCACGCCCACCATAGCTGTCGGATATGTATTTATGGTATAAAGGTTTAACTTTGACTCTGATCGTTTTTTTATGGCCGGAAGGGTATGTGTTTTATAGGTGCGGTGGCCGGTGACGGATAGAAGGAACGAGCTCTGATACGTGGAAGTAGCAGCGGGTGTAGAGAGTTGGGCACGTGTCGGGTTCTGCTACCTGTACCATTACGTACTTGACACGTGTTTGCCTTCACCGACTTGCTTATTATTTTCTTTACGTTTCTTTGTTTTTATGTTTCAGCTCATGATAATCATAAATTATTAGAGAAAGCCCAGAAGGAGTATAGCCCAAAACAAATCTATGGTAGCTTTTGCCGACCTGGCATTACCAGCCCAAGTCTAAGGCCTGCATGCTCTGGGTTTGAGAGCCCGAACGAGGAAATAATGGATCATGTCGATATGAGTCAGTCCTTGGACCATCTCCAATCTCCATTGCTATTCTCTAGCAATGCCATTATGGCCACCACAATCTTTTTCTTTTTCTTCTTCTTCTTCTGCTTCTTTTCTTCTACATTTTTCCTATAAAAATGGTGGTGTTGTGCATTATAATTTCTAAGTTGTTTAATTAGACAGAAGAACACTCATATATAAAACTAATTAGAGAAGTAATTATGAAATACATTTGTTTATTGCAGATAAAATATAATGAAGCTGGAAGAAAATAAATTTCAATAAAATACACAGGTAAGAATAATTTACTAAATCCCAATTTTCATTCAAAAAAGTGGTTTTCCTACTACATTCCTAAAAATACAATCACAACTACCAAACTTTGTAATCTTAAAATGCAAGCATTTAACCAATACATCAATTTATAATGAATGCATTCATACAATACATCAATTTTAACAATCGCAAATACCAAACAAGCTCTTAATATGGGATGATGATGATGGGAATTTGAACCTAGGACTTCTTGCACACAATAGCAGCTAAACCAAGTGTGCCAAGACCATTTATGGTATTTATTCGGAAAAATAATATATATAATTCAAACCGTCGGGTGGGGTGCGGGTTGCAACCAAACCGCCCCGGCCCCACGCAGTCAGCAAAACCGCCCCCTACCCGTGCGGTTTTCGTGAAAGGGTGCTATTTTTGGAATTTTTTTGGCTTCAGTGCTATTTTTGAAGTTTTTTTTTAAACAGTGCTATTTCTAGAAAAAGTCCGATTAATATTGGGTGTCGTGGGGACTTTGAACACGTGACCTAATGCACAAACCAGCTATGATACCGTGTGATGAAACAAAAGGTACAAACAAAAGAGAATAATTATTATATTATATAAATGGTGGTTTGAGATATTGTGCTTCTCAATCACTCATTGTCATTCGGAATCAGCACCTTTTTTTCTCCTACCCTTGTTTCCACTCCATATCCTTAATTACCCTACTAGCTACTCCCATTCGGCCATTCCCATATGTAATCTTGTTCAACCTTATAAATGATCAATCTGTTGGTGGAATCATGGTTGATCACATTAGCAAAATGCAGCAAGAGTAGCAGCAGAAGGCGGGAAGAACAGAAGGGGTTTGAATGTTTGAAGTCTTGGTCTAAGTTGAGACTGTGTTGTTTGGTTTATTGCAGTTGAGTCCTTGAGTTTGTAAATTGAGTCAGTAAAGTCCCTGCGTGGATTGAGGTCAAAGGGAGCAAGTCAGTAGCTTAGCTGTCAAGGTAGTTATCTTAATTAAAGGGTCGTGGGTTAAGGGCTTGTTAGTGGAAGCCTGGTTTGTAGGCTGAAGCTTAGTATTTATTGTTGATTAGATGCGTTGAATAAGATTGGTCAGTTTACCAATCCTTTGAAACATCATTGTGGTATCAGAGCAAAGAGTAAACTGTAACCACAACTGCGAGATTAAGAGTGATTTGAGTGAAATTGATATTGATCCTGGGACAGGGAAACACGAGAGAAACGAGAGAGAGACTGTTTCAAGGTTTTGTGAGTGAAAACATGAGTGAGAGCAGTTTTGCACAGGTCTGTCTTCCAAAATTCGATGGAGATTATGACCATTGGAGTCTGCTGATGGAAAACCTGCTGAGGTCCAAGGAATACTGGTCTGTTGTAAGTGATGGTTTCAGGGAACCAGCTCCAGGAGAAGTATTGTCAGCAGTTCAGAAGAAGGATCTAGATGATAATCGTTTGAGAGATCTCAAAGCCAAAAATTATCTGTTCAGTTCTATTGACAAATCAATCCTGAAGCAAATCACTCAAAAGGCCACAGCTAAGCAGCTTTGGGACTCTATGAAAGTCAGGTATCAAGGGAGTGAGAGGGTGCAGAAAGCACAGCTTCAAGCTTTGAGAAGAAATTTTGAGATTCTGGCCATGAAAGAAGGTGAGACTGTATCTGCTTACTTTGGAAGGGTTATGGTTGTTGCCAATGACATGAGAAACTGTGGGGAAGCAATGCCAGATGTTAAAATTGTTGAGAAAATTTTGAGAACCTTGACAGAAAGATTCAACTACATAGTTTGTGCCATTGAAGAGTCCAAGGACATAGATACTCTTTCTGTTGAAGCTTTGCAAAGCTCTTTGCTTGTGCATGAGCAAAAGTTCACAAGGCAGACTGCAGAAGAGGATCAAGCCCTCAAAGCTACACATGTTTTTGGAGGAAGGGGAGGCACTAGAGGTGGTGGTCGATTTTTTGGTCAAGGAAGAGGAAGAGGAAGGGCTCGAGGCTGGAACAGAGATGCTGTACAGTGTTTTCACTGTCATAAGCTGGGCCATTTCAGGAATGAGTGTCCTGATTGGTTCAGTCAGCAAGCTAATTATTCCAGTTTTGACTCATCCAACAAATCACAAGATGGTGCGAGAGATGAGCTCCTGCTAATGGCTCAAATTGAAGGTGAGCATGCTGGTTTGATGGCTTTCCTGGAAACTCAGAAATCTGAGAAGAATCCAAACTGGTGGTTTCTTGACTCAGGCTGTAGTAATCATATGAGTGGGGAAAGACAGTGGTTTATTTCTATGGATGCTGGTTTTGAGTGTCATGTGAAGTTGGGTAATGGCAACAGGTTGAAGGTGGCTGGCAAGGGTTCAATAAAGTTGTTGGTTGATGGATTTCCTATGGTCATAAGTGATGTGTTCTATGTGCCTGATCTGCAGACCAACTTGCTAAGTATTGGTCAATTACAGGAAAAGGGTTTGGAGTTTCTGATCAAGAAAGATGTCTGCAAAATATTTCATGAAGTAAAGGGGTTTCTGATGCAGACAAGCATGAAATCCAACCGGATGTTTGTGCTAAGTGCAGAACATGGAAATAGAACACAGGCTGAAGAGATAATGTGTTTACAAACATCTTTGCAGCTCTGGCATAGAAGGTATGGTCACTTGAATCAGAGAAGCCTGCTGGAAATTCAAAGAAAGGGTCTGGTTCAAGGCATCCCTCAGTTGCATGGAGATCTGGGAGTTTGTGAAGTTTGTCAAATTGGCAAACAACACAGACACAGCTTTCCAAAGAAGAGCAGCTGGAGAGCAAATCAGAAGCTGCAACTCATTCATGCTGACTTGTGTGGACCTATTACCCCTGAGTCTAATGGAGGAAAAAGGTATATCCTTACCATCACTGATGATTTGAGCAGAAAACTGTGGGTTTATTTTCTGTCTGCTAAGTCTGAAACACTAGAAGCATTTAAGAAATACAAAGCCATGGTAGAGAATGAGACAGGCAGCACCATCAAATGTTTGAGAACAGATCGAGGGGGAGAATTCTTGTTACAAGAGTTCAAAAATGTGTGTGATGAAGCTGGCATAAGGAGGCAGCTTACAGCTGCCCTTACTCCCCAACAAAATGGGGTTGCAGAAAGAAAAAACAGAACCATAATGAATATGGTTCGATGCTCCTTAGCTGATACAAAAGTTCCTGCTGAATTTTGGCCTGAAGCAGTGGCCTGGACCACTTATGTGTTGAACAGGAGTCCAACAACAGCCAATGAAGAAAAGACCCCACATGAAGTCTGGTCTGGTAAGCCTCCTTCAGTTGAGCATTTTAGGATCTTTGGTTGTGTAGCCTATGCTCACATCCATGATAAGAACAGAAAGAAACTGGATGCAAAAAGCTTAAAATGCAACTTTCTGGGGCTGTCTTATGAATCTAAGGCCTACAAACTCTACAATCCTACAACACAGAAGGTAGTGATTAGTCGAGATGTAGTCTTTGATGAAGACAAAGGTTGGATCTGGGAGACTGAGCCTCAAAAAGATGTGACAAAACTGGTTCTAGAAGGAGAGGATGGGAACTGGTTAGATTCTGATACTGAAGAAGAAGTTCAACCATCTACTGATGAGTCAACTAGTCAAGCTACTCCTGTGATCACCCCTTCAAGTAATCAGGAAGAAGAGGAAGAAGAAGAAGAAGAATCTGATCTGTCTGCTGATAGCCTTGGTTTACCATCACCAGGGAACTTGGGGCTTGGACATCGAGTAAGAAAGCCACCAGGATACCTGAATATCTATGATTGCAACTGGGCTAACACAGATTGGTGGGCTATGATTGCTCTTCCTGATGATCCTCTGACATTTGAAGAAGCTGCAATTGATGAGAAGTGGAATGAGGCTATGAGGCAAGAGATGATGTCTATTAGAGATTATGACACATGGATACTTACTGACTGCCCACCAGATGTCATTCCACTTGGATTGAAGTGGGTTTACAGGACAAAGTTACAAGAGGATGGAAAGATTGACAAGCACAAGGCCAGGCTAGTAGTCAAGGGTTATGCTCAGCAACATGGCATTGACTACACAGAGGTTTTTGCCCCTGTGGCAAGGTGGGATACAATTAGAACAATTCTGGCCTTAGCTGCTCATCATGGGTTTCCAGTTTTTCAGCTTGATGTCAAGAGTGCTTTCCTCTATGGTGAGCTTTCTGAGGATGTCTATGTTGAGCAACCACAAGGATTTGTGGTTGCTGGGGAGGAAAATAAGGTTTATAAACTGAAGAAGGCTCTCTATGGGTTGAAGCAGGCTCCACGAGCATGGTATAGCAGAATTGAAGCGTATTTCTTGAAGGCTGGGTTTGAGAGAAGTAAACATGAGCATACCTTGTTTGTCAAAAGGTCTGGATCTGATTTCTTGGTGGTAAGTGTGTATGTAGATGACTTAATGTTTACTGGCAGCAGTACTGTGATGATTGAGGAATTCAAGCAATCAATGAAGGAGGAGTTTGCTATGACAGATCTAGGGAAGATGAGATACTTTCTGGGGGTTGAAGTCAATCAAACTGACAGTGGTATTTTCATCTGTCAGCAGAAGTACATAAGAGAAATTCTGGACAGATTTAACTTGAGTGAGTGCAATCATGTGCACAACCCAATGGTGGCTGGAGCTAAGTTAACTAAAGATGGTGATGGAATTCCAGTTAATCCAACTGAGTATAAGCAACTCATTGGCAGCCTTCTATATGTCACAGCCACAAGACCAGATGTTATGCATTCTGTGTGTCTGTTAAGCAGGTATATGGAAGCACCAACTAAACAACATATGTTGGCAGCTAAGAGGATTCTGAGGTATTTGAAAGGCACCATGCAGCATGGGATTTGGTACAGAAAAGGGCAAGAGAATGACTGCTTAATTGGTTACACAGATAGTGATTATGCAGGAGATTGTGATGACAGGAAAAGTACTAGTGGGTATGTTTTCTTCCTTGCTGGAGGAGCAATCTCATGAGCTTCCAAGAAGCAACCAGTGGTGACCTTGTCGACCACAGAGGCTGAGTATGTAGCTGCATCATACTGTGCTTCACAGTGTGTGTGGTTAAGAAAGATTCTTGAGCAGATGGGATGACTTAAAAGCATGGAGGCTGCAACAACAATCTGGTGTGATAGCAGCTCTGCAATCAAGTTGTCAAAGAACCCTGTTCTTCATGGACGTAGCAAACACATTGATGTAAGGTTTCATTATTTGAGGGAGCTGGCAAATGAAGGAATTGTGGAGCTGAAGTACTGCAGGACACATGAACAGATTGCTGATGTGATGACAAAGGCATTAAAATTGGAAGCTTTTCAGTTGCTGCGAAGTGGACTGGGAGTGGTGGATATGATGGAGTTCAGGAGTGGAAAATGAAGGCTTGAAGAGGTGAACTGAAGCTTTGCTGGTGAGCTCCAGTTCAGGGGAGGATTTGTTGGTGGAATCATGGTTGATCACATTAGCAAAATGCAGCAAGAGTAGCAGCAGAAGGCGGGAAGAACAGAAGGGGTTTGAATGTTTGAAGTCTTGGTCTAAGTTGAGACTGTGTTGTTTGGTTTATTGCAGTTGAGTCCTTGAGTTTGTAAATTGAGTCAGTAAAGTCCCTGCGTGGATTGAGGTCAAAGGCAGCAAGTCAGTAGCTTAGCTGTCAAGGTAGTTATCTTAATTAAAGGGTCGTGGGTTAAGGGCTTGTTAGTGGAAGCCTGGTTTGTAGGCTGAAGCTTAGTATTTATTGTTGATTAGATGAGTTGAATAAGATTGGTCAGTTTACCAATCCTTTGAAACATCACAATCCTCCATATATAATTTCACGTACCTGCATGTATATTAAAAAAAAAGCGAGTCATACATAGCCATTATGTTACCCTGTTAGTAAATATGGAAATTGTTGTATATTATTAGAGTATGTGTAGTACGCGAGTAGTATTGTGTTATACTACGAGTACTGCAATGTAATTGGGCAGAGTTACATTCCTTATCAAAGTCGTATTAGTGTTAGGGTTACTACGTACAGAAGTCAGTCTCTGTGCTCTATACAATTATAAACTCATTGCGGTATCAGTAATAATATACAACAAACATACCCGTCCTGTTTACGTAGTGAGGAGGATGATGGAAAGTTGGTTGGCACTGGGCAGGGTATATGATTCTCCTCCTCATCATGCACTCGAAAAGATTATTCCAAGCTAAGCCACCTCTGGAAACATCTATCTTGCTATCTATGTGTACGCGTTAGCTAGCTAGTCTTTTGGGAAAGCAGAGATCCTCCCTGCAGGCTGCAATCTCCTTTGTGATCACGATGATCAATCCCTTTCGCCAGCCCATGGCGTACGTGATGGCGAATGAAGTTACTTCAGCCTTGCGGAATAGCTATGTAGCCCTCTTTTGGGCAAGGTAAAGCGTCATCGATCTCTCTGGCCATGAGTTATATCGGTGATGATCAGAAGCCGATCGAATAGATAAAAGGCAGTGTGTTGGGTTAGAAGAACAAAAAAGCAACGGCAGGCACAGTTTGTGCTTTTTTTGAATGAGTTGTGTGCCAAATAGGCAAATAAGGTGGAGGAGGGTGCATTCTGATGATTACGATACGTACCAACATCACATGGACGTCGGTCCTCAAATTACGATACCCACATGGAGCTTTCGATCGCTCAATCTCCTCAACCTCCCAAGAAGTGGAAGAAGCAGTCAAGTACGTACTTGTGCTTTGCTAATCTCGCCAATTATCCCACCATGTGAACTCGTCACGGGTTAGTTAGGGATGACCAAAATAATGATACATATGTGAGCACCCGTTCGGCCGTTCCAATTCGATCTGATCGGGTAGTATAAAACTCGGAATTGAATGATTTTGGATGTGTATGAGTAAAATTCGAATATGGTGGGTGCTGAATGAATATAGTTTTTCACTTTTTTTTAACAATCCAACTCGTATATATGAGTAAAATTTGAATACTGTGGTCGATGTATGCATATCGTTTTTCTAACTATCCAACCAAAACCCGTCTGATTATACAAAATGCATATGTATTATGTTTAAAAATGATCATTATTTTTCTCAGCATATTTTATATTATCATATATATATAATGTTTTCATGAGATTTTATTGTTTTGAACTTATTTTCTTTGTTACGAGTAATTTATTGTTGTAATTATTCACTTATTCAATGTTAGTATACGTGTAACTGTTATCATGTTAGTTTACGTTATAAATCGAGATTATTATCTTATAAATCGTAATTATTCACTTATAAATCGAGATTATTATCCATGAATAATCGTGGATAATTGAAACTCAAAACCTTCTAGAGTTCAACTTAAACTATATCTTGTCCTACCTCTTTCTCAAATCTCTTAACCTCAACCCCAATATTACTGTTGGCACCTTTATTCTCATCATCAAACTTAATTTCATCTACTCCACATGCACATATACTCCCCACTTCAAGCCTCCCCATTTATGCTTCCCTCCAGCTACCCTTCTCATTCAACCTTCCTCCCTCTCCCTCTCCATTTCCCATAAACTTTCCACCATGAAAAAACTGGCTGCAGCATTCTTCTCAATCCTTTTCATACTATGCCACCTTCACGATACTAATTATGCGGCAACTATTAGCAGTGTCACAGAGAAGCTGGACGATCAAAACCAGCCAACGGCAGAGATAAAGTGTGGATCGTGCCCTTGCGTCGACCCATGTAGCCAGCTGCCTCCGCCGCCGTCACCACCACCGCCGCCTCCACCACCACCACCACAACTTCAACCGCCGCCGCCGCCCCCGGATTGTACTCCTCTTTCGCCTCCACCGCCACCACCACCACCGCCACCGAGAATTGTGTACGTGAAACCACCGCCGCCGCCGAGGTTCGTGTACGTGACGGGAGATCCTTATGACGTGGATTTATACAGCGGAGGAGAACGCAATGTAATCGAACATGGCTTGTTGATTATTAAGGTTGGTGTTGGATTACTTGTCGGAGCGATACTTGTGATCATATGATGATCTGTGGAAAATTGTCAAAGCTCTCCATCTCTACATCACTTGATATCATGAGTTTTCTGTAGTCATTGTTTAGTCATAGTCATTCTTTTTTTACCGGGGCTAGTTGAGAAATTCACGATGGGATAATTACAGTTCTTCCTTAATTAGGTGCTCCGTCATTGTTTGCCAAATTCTGCTCTAATTTTCTTCAATGTTATTTGCCATGATTATGAATAAATTATAAATGTATTGTTATTTCAGTTTGGTTTTCGGTGGCACATTTAACTAATTAATAAATTTCATTTTTTTTAATGAATGAATACAGGGTATATGATTGGTTGTGATTGATGTTCTTGTATGGATTCGCAGGTTGAGATTCATGATATTTTATTTTTTTTAGGCATTTTGACATTGGCTTTCATTTGTATTTGTCAATCAAACAAATGTTGTACTTGTCGTCTCTAGAATTCGTATACTATTGTTGGGCATGGAACGAAATCGAACATACTAGATATATTCTCTCGCATTGTTTCATAATGTTCATGTTTACCTGTACTTTGAAATTCAATGCAGTGAAAATTTCTCCTTTTCAAGGTTAAAAACTTACGCTTTTACGCGCTTCTAGGTTATCAAAACACTTTTATGTAGAATCGCACTGTTTTCCTTATCAATATAATCAAAATCGTGTTTTAAAACTTAAAAGCTTACACTTTTATACTTCTAAATTACTAAAATGCTTCTATATATATATATAGAATCACGCTTTTAACTGCAATGCTTTTAACCTATACACAAGATGGTGAAGAGGGAAACGAAGGTTTTGGGAAAGTGAAAGATTTGCGTAGTATAGAAGTTGGCATATATCCATCCATCCATCCATATATGACTAGTGCCACTAAAAGCAGTTATGCGGAAGGAACCTTGCTTTGCTTTCCTTTGCTTTCCTTTCCTTGGGCGGGCAGAGAAGAATCTCGCCGGCCCTCAGCAGCAGCAGCATATTGCACTTTATACGGCCAGCGCAATATTGACGGTGGTCTGAACAAGATTCTCTTTGTGTTCTTGCTGCCATCTCCGCCGTTGCCTTGCCATTAACCAATTCAACTGATTTATTAGCTATATGTATATATACAGGGAACTCTGCTTGTTATCCAGCAAGGGCTCCTGCCCCTTTCCCTTGTTTTTTGTAAGAACTATCATGGGCTTTGTTTCGTTTTTTTTGGACTGAAGATGGGCTTCAAGCCTTCAACCAAAGATTAAGTCTTACAGGATTTGGATCAGCATTAGCCCAAACAAAATTTTTGGATGGATTATTCAGGCCATTGGGGGTCATTTTAACCGGTTTGGCTTGGCAGCTCATTTCCCTGGTGAGTTATTTCGACTTGGTTGTTTCTAATACTAAGGATAAAAAAAAAATATCCTACTTTTATCGACGGTTGAATCGCAAAATATCGGGACGGAAGCAATTCATTTGTTCATGAATTGAGAAAGCCAAGGAGAGCAGGGCAGACCGTTCTTCATATTTCCTTTTGAGATTCTTCACCTCCATCAGAGTAATATGTATAATTCTCCATAGCAAAACCTTTCGACTCACAAACCTATAAAAAAAAAACTCGTCGCCTCCTCCATATATATAATTCCTCCATCTTCTTTAATTGTTAGAATAACTGCTACCACGTACTCTCGGTGGGACTTCCTTAGCTCAACTGACACCATTCCACTTGGCAACTTCGATCAACAGACTGATGCTCATGCTACCAGCACTGGCGACGACAACCAAATCGACAATAGTGGACATCAAGATATCTCATTTGGTAATTCCGATTACATCAATCCAAGTAAAAACATTTCATAGTCGATTGTGTCTAAAAATCTTGACGGAGCTAACTACCATATGTGGCAAAGAGCTATTAGAATGGCCCTAAAAACTAAACATACTATTGAGTTCGTTGATGGGTCAATACTAATTGTTGGTTTAGGAGATCCAGATGATAATATGTGGGATGCTTGTAATACTCTTGTTTTATGATGGATTACAAGTTCCATTGATAAAAAAAGAATTGGAAGGAGTGTGATGCAACATGAGGTGGCTAAGAATCTTTGGGAAGAATTGAAGAAATGATTGGGCATACAAATGCTATTAAACTAGCTCACTTACATGAACCAATTCATGCTTCTAAAAAAGGAAGCCTCAATGCGACACAATATTATCTTGTGCTCAAGGATAATGGAAGGAATACTTACCCTTGAGCAACTGTTGAGGCTTTCAAACAGAAACATGAGGTGGATTATCTTATTCGATTTCTTAGAAGTTTAAGGCCAAAGTTTAATGTTGTCCAAACTCTCTCATAACGAAACTAATGTCAACTATCGACAACGTTTCAAAATATATCAAAGTGGATGCTATTTAAAAAACAAGATTAATTTAATATTTCACTAAAAATATTAAAATTCAAGTTAAAACGAAATAGATATTACTGATTAAATTGGATTGGATAAAACCATACACATGATCAATCATGTGAATGACTAGATACACTCAAGGGAATCACATAACTACCACACATGCATTGTAATCGTATGGTACAGCAAAGCAAAGAAAAGCGTCGGTGGATGATTGTTTAACTACTAGTGTCAGAATAAAACACATAATAAATTATTAGTTCTCAATTATACAATTGATCGCGACTTTCCAACCCATCATTTCACCAATTTAGACAACATCAAAATTGATCATGTCGCCAACCTTATGGCAAGATAAGAATAATTGACATTTGTCGTTTTACATCCAAGTCGCTTTCAACTCAATTGATTAAATCCATTTGGAAAAACACCAATTAATGTACCCCCTACCAAAAGCCTCCATCAACTTTCATTATTACTTAATAAAAAAGGTTAAATTTCCTTCATAATGTTCTATAATGGTCCGTCTAATTTGTTGCTCCATCAGTAATTTTTAGAAGTTGATATGTGTATCGTTTTAATTTTATCGGATATGTCCGAAGGGGCTTTTACAAGCATTGCAAAATAATTTTAAAACTGAACTTAGTTTGACCGTGTTATATCATTCGAAACTGTAACTTTTGATTAGCGTAAGAGTAATAATTAGTTATATTAAGGTGGGTATGTCTAAAAAAATAATAATTTATGAGCCGACTCTGTTGTTACACTAATGCATCTACCTTTCCAACCACGTGGATCCTTCATACACATTGTTGTTGCCCGTCAAATGTTCTCTCTTTCGAGTGATAAGTTCAGCAGATACCTGTCTACCAAGAGTGTACCAAGCTAAGTACATGACAATTGAGTCTTGCCTACATAGTTGTACATCATAGATAGTACTAACAAGTAATTATTTCATCGACATTATATGACACTATTATCAGTATCTTCAAATTCAGATTGATTAATAATACAGGTTAAGACGCGTCTTTATTGCGAAAACTATTATACGAATGAGCCCAAAAGTCCAAAATAGAAAGAAAAAAAAGATTGAAAACCCAGGAAAAGTCAGTAGATAGAACAAAGCCTCCACCAGTGAGCACATAACAGCTAGCCAACCCTCAAAAAAGAAAGAAAGAAAAAAAAAAGATCCTCTTGAAAAGTAGGGCTGGCTATTTGGTTCTGGACTGTTTGGTTTTATCCGAACCGGACCGGGACCGGACTGGGTCTGGATAGCAAACAATCCAATCTCATATTCGGGTTTAGATTTGAGGTAAAAAACCCGGATAAAGAACGGATAAGAGACCCCTAAAATCAGATCAAATTGGGACGGACCGGGTCAAGACCGGATCTAATCAAGACCGAACTGTATCTAATCCAATCTTTGGTCCTTATATTCCCGAAAAGACCGGACTGAAACCGGATAAATTTGATCCAATTTAACCTGACCGGACCGTATAGCCAGCCAGTTGAAAAGTCATATATTCCCTCCTATCACTATAAACCCATCATCACATGTCCCCGCCGGCGCAAAATTCCTTTTTCTCTCTTCCACTGTCAGTTTGTTCATCTCCAATGGCGGCCATCCCTTTCCTTCTGCTCACGCTTTCAATTATCCTAATAACGTCCCCGGCCAAATTGGCGCAGTCACAAACCACCTTCGCTTGTGCCTCCAATCCCTGCATTCTACCGCCGCCGCCGCCGCCGCCGCCGCCGGCAAATAACTGCCCACCTCCGCCCACTCCGCCGTCCCCGCCGCCTCCTGCTTGCGCGTCATGCACGCAGCTGCCGCCGCCTCCTCCACCGCCGCCTTCTTCCTACTACTTTCCTCCGCCCAGCAATGTGCCTCCGTCGATGAACGTGGCTCCGCCGCCACCCAACCCAATCCTGCCGTACTTCCCGTGGTACTACAAGATCCCTCCGCCGGCGCCTTCCGACGATTCTTCGGCCAGCATGAACGGAGGCGCCGTGGTAGTAGTTACCGGCATGATTGCTATTTTGCTGTCTTTCCCAATTGATCAGCTTTTGGTTTTTGATTGATTATGTTATATTATGGGTTAATTCATTTCATTTTGGAAATAATTGAGAAGAATTTTTGACGCTTTTGTTCAGCGGTGGTGGATGATTGACGAATGCCAAATTGTTTAGTTTGTTTAATTAGTGCTGTATATTTTATTTCTATTTACTAATGAACTAGTGAAAAAATCACTTGTATGTTGAAGAATTTGATGACGCAACATATGTAGTAAACCCTTATTAATGAACACTAAGGGGTTGTTTGGAGAACAGGATTCGGGACATGGATTCATTGAATTAGTAGATTTTGTAGAAAATTATGTTTTTTTGTTAGTTTTTGTATTGTGGATTCTAGCTTTAGAGATTTCAAATCTCTAAAATCTGCGGATATCAAATCTCTCATAATCAGAGAGATTCTATATCTTGATTCGTGAGATTTTTTTTCTCCTAATTTTTCTCTTCCTTTTATTTATTTATCACATGAAATATATTTATCAACAAAGTTTTTTTATATTTCACGAACCACTCTAATTTTTTATTAAGGATAAACATGTTATTTAATATAAAATTAAATGTTTTATTTTACTTGATTGTTAACAATCACAATTACCAAACAATAAACATTTTAAAATCTGTTTTCAACAATCCGAAGAGTTAGAATCTTTAGATTGTTGATAATCTGTAGATTTAAACTCATATTCTCCAAACGACCCCTAAATTATTTTAGATGATTTGAATTTGTTTATCTTAGTTACGATTTGGGACATGGGGTACTGACGGGCTACTCAACACACATCGCACTTTATAATAATTGTTACTAAATTAGATAATTTATCTACTGTTGTTTAAAAAAAATTTATCTACGGTTTCGTTTTGGGTTCAATTCCTTACCCAACAAAGAAAAAATTTACCTACTTTCACCGTCTGGAGCACAATACAATTTTCTTCTAAGAGGATTTTTACATTTGTGTTTTATATCTTTTATTTATTATTTTTTTAGGAAAAGCTTTATATCCTTTTCTTGTTCCCTCCTTTTAGTTTCTTATTCATTAACTTTACACCTCTCAAATAGGAAAGCTTAAATCAAACACCACCCAATTTTATTCTTTTTCATATTTAAAATAATAAAACCTTTTTTAACTTTTGCATAGTGACTTGTAAATCTCTTATATATGGGTCATAAATTCTTGCTTGCACATTCAAAGAAGTTCCAACTTATTATATTGGTGATATGCTATGGACTATGGTATAAGGGTCAAAATAAACGTAGATGGTAACAAGAATCATATTCCTCAATGCCTTTCAAATCTCACTACCCAATCAGTGAGAAGTTATGTTCTTTTTGTTAAAACATTTTTTAAGGGTGAGATGCCTCGAGTTTGTAAATATTTTGAAAATGTAAAAGGGACACAAATCGAAATAGCAATAAATAAAAAGGAAGGAAATTAGCAGTAGAAGGTGGTGTTGTATAGACAAATATCCTTGTATAGTTTTCTAGACAAGTTTAGCACGACAATTGACACATATATGTACGCATCTAAGAGAATTCATATGGATTCCTCGGTTCACTATGATCTCTAATATCCTATATCTACGGGTGGATGTCTCTTTTGGAAATGGACTAGGACGACATGTGGGTTAGCCAACAAGTCATGTTGTCACGATTACCCTTTGCATGTGTTGCCTACCAAATCGTTATTTGTCTGTGGTCAATAACATGAATATCCTTGTTACAATCAATCCACATGAACAAATATAGACATGTTGTTAAACGTCTAGGGGTCACCTCTAGTTTGATTGACCTACCTAAAAAGGTTTGTCAAATATTTCTCTTGCAATGATTTATTTGCACTCTAACTTGCTTGTTCCAAGATATGTGATAGAAGCTTTTGCTTCTTTACAATATTGACAGGAGAGTAAAGGGATAGAGATGAGTCAAGAGTCAAGAGTCAAGACACACGGCTTTTAATGAAGCTTGGTCAAGATGGCTTTACACCCACGTCTCGAAGATAGTTTTGCACTATTTCGAGAGACTATAACTTTAATTAAAAGTATTAAAAGTTAATGTACTATATCTCATTCATTCACCTAAGTATATCATGATTTACCATAGTGGATAATGGTACATAAGATTAACTATAATGGTTGGAAGTGGTAAAATTTTAAACTAATTATGCTCTAGGAAATATCGTCCATTTTGATATATTTGTTAATAAAAAATGTTAGTACATGTGTTTCTACCATAGTATACCATGATATATCGTGGTGTATTACTAAAGAGTATACCATGATGGTAAGAAGTGATAGAAACGCATGTCGAAATGCGAATGTGTGAACTATGAATGTATCATCCGTAGCTCATGGGTGTGGAGGCATATACTAAAGATCAATGCCCTTATTGCAGGATCACTTACAAAAACCAGGGGAAGTTATCTTGTATCTTGGGATGGAGTAACAAACTAACAATGCATGCTTATTCTGTAAAAAGGGTGTGGGAAACCCTTAGGACTAAGCAACAGACAGTTGAGTGGCAGAACCTTCTATGGAACAAGCACCATGTGCCTAGCTAGGTATAGCTTCATTTGATTAAGGAGGAATTTTACAATGCTATATAGCATTGGTGTTATAGGTTTTTATCTTTATTATGTTACAACTTGAAATTGTATCTTTAATGTTATGGTACAACTTTAGATTGTACCTATACTTTTTGTACAAATTATTTTATGGTACAACTTAAACTTGTACATTTATGTGATGGTACAACTTCAAGTTGTAAAGTTGTACCATAACATAATGATACAAATTCCTTTATGTTACCACCTAAGCTTGTACATTTAATGTTATGGTACAACTTCAAGTTGTACATTAAAGCACCAATACTATATAGCATGGTAGAAGTGCTCTTGATTAAGAATACCATTATTACCCAAGATAAGCTTATCAAGTGGGGGAAGCTTGGATCGTAGCTCGATAGTTCACAAAATTGTTTTACTATTAAAAATATTGAGAAAAGAGTGAGCTTTTAGATGATGTTAAGTTTTCCTATTGATATTAACTGCCTAACCGGGTGTTATTACTGCATTTCACTTGGATGTTACATATATGGATTCTTAATTTATTGTGGAACCTCTAAACTAGATGTTTTGGTGTTGTCTAACACCTATACTCGCCTAAGTGTAAGGTTAATCACGCATTTTTTATCCAGTAGGTTGGCTCATTCTCAAGCAGCTATGACTCTCATTGTATTAGAAGAATATTGGGTGTGATTGGCAAACCATTTTAAGGAGAAATGGAATTCAAGTTAAAACTAACCCGATACAAACCGATTAATATACGTGAAAAATTCAAAATTGAAATTGATCCCAACCGAAAATATTCAGATCTGTCTCTACCCAAAAATCAAAAGACGATATCCACTATCCAGTTATCCATTTGATCATTTGCGGCTAGCTACCATCTTCAAAGATCTTGACCAAAACATCTGGTAGATATCTCTCCTCATCTAATTCTTCTCAAATTTATTTCATCTCCATTTTCTTAAAAAATAAAATAAAATAGATGCGTAATTATGAGCTCAAAATTACTCTTCAAACCTAACCGTGACTCAGTAATTCTCTCATTCTTTTGGTCGAAAGCGAAAACAAATATTCAAAACCTCCCTTAAACAAAAAAATTAACCCGATAACATCAGGAACAGAATCTTCGATCTCCCCTGAAAGATTAACAGAAAATGAATCTCCTAAGATACTTAAGGATAATGGATAAAATGAAAAGTAACAACCTAGATAAGACACGGCAGTTTCTCTGTCACCGCGCAGTTCCTCCTTATAAGAACAACACATACCAATTAATTAACTTAACCTCCAAATTAAACACGCATCAAACAAATTACACATAATGGCCGCCGAACATCATAGATCAGAAATGAGCGAGCTAGAAGAAGGCGGCGGCGGCGGCGTCTCCCCGGCGGCCACTCCTCCTCCTCCTCCTGGATTCTGGACGTCCCCGGCTGTTGTTGAAACCCTACAAAAGGTTGTTGCCTTTACCATCAATATAAATAAATAAATACACGTGTACATTTTTTTTATCAATGTTATTTTTTAAGTAGCATAATATATGATATATATACATATATGTATATGAACAGGTGGCGGCGGAGTTGATCGGGACGTATTTTGTAATCGTGGTCGGCTGCGGATCGGTGGCCGTGAACAGCATCTACGGGAAAGCGACGGCGCCAGGTGTCGCCCTCTGCTGGGGTCTCATCGTCATGCTAATGGCTTACTCCGTCGGCCACATCTCCGGCGCCCATTTCAACCCCGCCGTCACTCTCTCCGCCGCCGCTTTTCGTTCCTTCCCCGTCCGCCTCGTACGTTTATTATAATTTAAGTTCTAACACTATCTCCTACGTTATTATAACCTAACCAACAACGTTGATTTTGATACTCATGTCGAAAATCATATATAGGCATGCATATTAGCATGGTTGAGCTAATGGGGTGCGCTCCGATACAGGGTCTTCGAATATTAGGGAGTTTCTGTCATCGATTTCTTAGTCGTCCATCCAATCATTGTATTATTATACGATGAATTTTGTTGTGTATGATTGGTTGATTATGGTTACAATGGCGCGTTTAAATATATTGATTAATACTGGTACTGGTCATTGGTGGATATTCTTATGTAATATATAAACTGGAGTACTATGCGCACATATTCATCGAGTTAAAGTCCAATCAGTGTTTTGAATGCGCTAATTTGTGTTATAAAACAACACAACAAATTTTTTTGAATAGGTTAATAACGATCATGATATAAAATGATTTTTCGACAAATAAAAAAAAATTTGAAGAGTTAAAATGTGATTTTGCTGAGTAGGTTCCGTTGTACATAGTGGTGCAAGTGGTGGGAGCGATCTTAGGGTGCGGGACGTTGGAGGCGTTGGTGGAGATCACCCCCAAATCGTATTTCGGTACGGCGCCGGCTGGATCGGCGGCGCAATCTCTGGCCGCCGAGATCATCGCCACCTTCATCTTGCTCTTCGTCATCTCTGCCGTTTCTTCTTCTGATTCAACGGTACGTTTTATTTCCTTTCTTTTTCCCTAAACTCACTCGACAAAACCCTAGGGGTATTCTCTCGTTGATTTCTCTCTCTTTTTCTGGCTAAGAACAGGTGGGCGATCTTGGGCCTCTACTCGTCGGAATGACAATCGTAATGGACGTCCTTCTCGCTGGGCCGATATCCGGGGCCTCGATGAACCCAGCAAGGAGTATTGGGCCGGCCGTAGTTGGGCAAGGGACGAAAGCCCTATGGGTGTACATTTTCGGCCCAATTGTGGGCGCACTGGCTGGATCGTTTGCCTATAAGCTCTTAACACCCACCCAGAGGTCTCTCTCCGACTTGAAAAACTTGCGCTTCCGTTCCTCAACAAACTAGCTAGAGATGATTGAATTGGCGTCAAAATTTTGTAGGAGCAGTTATCCCTTTTTGAAATTGTTTGGACCGTCAGTTGTCTCGTAGCAAATTTTTTTTTTTTTTTTTTTTTGCATGTATGCTAGTTTATGACGAGTTTTAGTATGCGTCGTTTTTGCATATCTATCGATCCAATTGGGTGTTGTTGCATTATAAATTGGGAGGAACTGGTATACGGATAACATGATGTTCGGCTTTACCTGTTAGAGTCTATAGAAGAATCGTAATACACATGTTCTTCGCGGAACTCTTGTGACCGCTACAAATTAAACAAGTTAGTTTTTTATCGGTGACCTTGAGATAGAATAGTGATTGATCTATTGGGTGGGAAGCTCATCCAAGACATTTGGAGACAAAAAGAACTCTGGTATTTGGTTTAGGATGCAAAATCTGGAATATGGTAGGGACGATGATACAATAATAAAAACTAAATTGTGAGCCTGCAATCGGTTTCTTTCTTTCTTGTTCTTTTTGGCATTGCATGCACTGAACCGTTTTCGACCACAGGAGACAAGGGCAAAAACATAATATGCAGACGGTGCTTAATTATTATTATCAAACACTTCTCTTCACTGACTGGTCAATACAAACAAAAATATCTAACAACAATATTATTCTTATTATTGTTTATTATTTCAACACATCAATATATCAAAAGCAAAAGCAATAACTTCACTGTGGAAGTATCAAAAGATTCCAAACATAGCTTTCCGACTGGACCAACATTTTCACCTGTCAAACTTACAGAAAGCGCCACCGAGCCAACAAAATTTGAGGGGATTGCCGACTGTTTATAAGGTTAACATGTTTACAGGTATATCTTTATACCACAGGTTTCAATCGCCAAACAGACTATTTGATGGTAGATTTAAAAAAATGAGGTACTTCGATTCAATTATTTCGAAATTGTCTCATTTCGTACTTTACAAAATACTTTATCCTATTTCCTATCAATTCAAATTATCGCAAAACGAAAAAATTTCAAATTGTCTCTATTTAGTGTTGCTAAACAAAGACAATTAATCCATTATACTTCATTTTAACCCAATTAAACCGAATTGTCTCATCCAATTCCACCACACAAACGAACTTAATATTCATACATCAAGATTGACTCAACTCAATTCCCCAACAAAATTACAGCAGAGTAAGTTTCTGCAGTCAAAACTGTGACAAATCTACCTGAACACTTTAGTAAACCTAAAAATACAACCAAAAAAGAACACCATGCACAAGCCCATTCCTTTACTCTTTCGTTTTAATCTGTATAATAATAACATTTGGTACAACAACTGTTCCTCTCTTACAAGGCAGGATTGATTCTTTTTTACTTACAAAACTAGAGCCATAATGTACAGCAGCACAGCCACATGATTGATTATTGATAATGACGTATTCTGCTTTGCTTTTACTTTACTACCAGTCACCTGATACCTACTTATCGGCCTGGACTGGCATATCTCCCCACTTCACAATTCACATCACATCACCATTTCCTGTTCTCTTCTTCCCCTTCTTTGTTCCTCCACATTACCAATCCGGAAGAAGAGAAAGAAAAAACCCATGTGTGTCATCACACACACAAAACCCTCGCAAGAGTTTACTTGAAGAGCTGTAAAAACTGATAACTACTAATCAGCCAAATCGCCAGGGGTACATACCAGAGCTCTCCTCTGCAAATGTCTCAGGCTCTGTTCCATGCTGACCTGAACCATCTCCGCCAGCATCTTCTTCGCCTTACCGGACTGCTCGTCTCCGTCTATCTGAGATATTATATTGCACACGATGTTCTCCAGCGTGTCGGGCTGGAGCTCGGACCTCGGGTACGGACTCTCCCTCAGCAGCCTCAACAGTGTCTGCGCTTTCACCCGAGATTTCGGCGTCCCTTGCACCGTAAGCTCGAGGAGTCCGGGAATCACGCCTTCTCTCAGTATCGGCTCTCTGTACCTACACCGATCGCTCTGACAGAGACTCAGTAGCGCCCCGACAGCGTGCTCTCGGCTTGAGAGGGAGCCGGTCTCGACCACTTCGACCACTGCTAGAATCCCGCCTTCCTCGGAGGTTAGTGCTGCTCGGCCGTCGTCGAATTCCATGAGGGATTCGATGAGGGCGCAGCACTTCTCGGCTGTTCTGGAGGATGTTTTGGATGATTTGAGGAGGGCGAGTATTGGAGGGATGGGGTGGGTTTTGAGGATTGTGGAGGCGTTGTTTGAGTGTGTTGACAGGTTGGAGAGTGCCATTACCGAATCCATCTTGGCTTGTGGACTTCCGTTGCGGAGGATTTGGACTAGCAAGGGGATGGCGCCGGAGTTGGTTATGATCGGCTTGTTTGAGGTCGAGGCGGAAAGAGTGAGGAGAGCTGCTGTAGCGTGCTCCTGCAAGTTTGGATCACTTGACTGGAGGAAGTTTGTTATTGGTTCTAATGCTCCGGCTTCAACAATGCTGCTTTTATTCCTGCAAGAAGTGACAATATACTCGGTTATTTTTTCCAGCACAATTGAACCTAATAGCAACTGAGCAGAAATTACAGTTCTAGTTAGCAGATTAAGAACACAACCCTGTTTTCCCAGTAAACTTGTAGTTTCTATCTCATAGATAAAATGAAAGGGGAGATAACAATATATGCGCTCTAAGTTTCAAGCTGTGACTCAAAAGCATAAAGACCATATTCATCTCTACTATCAATCAGCAATTTCGAATTCGTTTTTTCTTCAACTTAGAATTTGCGCCTAGAATTAACACTCTTGCTAATCAGCAAATTCCGACCTACATCCTTCCTTGCAATGGCTGCTTGCAATGCCAGTGCCACAACCTTATCAATTGCTAAGATTTGGTGATGCAGCTGTTCTGCAACAACACTGGCTCACATGACCAGCTTAATCAGCACCAACCCAAAGTTAACCGTGACAAGATTGGCCGAACCCAGGTTGTACTAACTTAGAAAAACACAAAGCACAGGACAGTCGGCAAGAGTTCAGTTCGACCTTTCCCCCTTCATTAAAGGCTCTCGCTTTCACAATTTATGGAAGTTGGTTAAATGCAGATAGCAGTCTAGCACCTGCATTCATTACACCAGTTTCCAGATCCCAATCTTTACTCGGGGAAAAGTGAAAGGTGAAAAAGGGTTGATAAAAACAGAGAAACAACGTGACTCCCATTTTTATCCAGAACCACAAGGGTAGCTCGCAGAAGGGCATCATCCCCACCAAAAGTACGCCATTGATTTTGACAGAATAACTTCCGGGTGAAGATTTGCAGAAAAAGGGGAACGAATTAAAAACACGTGAAAGCAAAAGAAAGGAACACCGCCCCCCAATCAAGTCGGGGTAACTCACTGCAGCAAGAGCATCTGATTCTTTCCCCCCTGCAGTTTTTTTACCCGTAGAACGATCACCGACACCCATCAAGTAATCAATCAAACCAAAATTCCATGATTCCTACTCGTCTGTCTCCTAATTCGCTGAATCCATTCACTTGCATCAACAACAACAAAAAAAATCACACATCTCAATCTGTAGAGATTTCAGGTGACGCAGAACTCTCTGATTTGCCTTGTGTTTCCAGGAAAGGGGAACAGGGAGGGAGACAGAGTCGAATATTCTATTCGCCACTCCAAGTTCCAAGAAGAAAACTACAAAATCCATGGAAACCCCCCATTGGATTAGAATTTTGAAATTCAGGAATTCAAACTTCCCTATCATGATCTCCCCGTTGGGGGGTATATTTTCCCGAATTGAATAGTCAGAATTAGCCAAAAAGTTGGCCCAACTTCACCAATCGAGTCCAATAAGAACCAACCACATAGATTTTTTAATCCCAAAGTAAAAAAGAAGGAGGAATCCTAGAAAAAGGCAGGTGGAGAAGAAAAGGAAAAAGGATCGCTCTGGTAAAGGGGAAAACAGTTGCAGTACTTCCCAAGTAAAGCAAGATCGTCCTCAAAATCAACACCTAATTTAAACTAATCAATTATCAATCCATTGAAGGAAGAAAAAAAAAATTGAAAAGAGAAAAAAAAAATTGGAAATCGTTACCGTTCGTCTTTGACGGCGAGATTGAGCAGCGCGAGCAAGGCGGCCTCGTGGCAGTCGGCGGAGTCGCGCACCCGGAGCATGGAGACGAGGTGCGGAACGGCGTGGGCGAGCAGGCGGCGGCACCGCTGCGAGGTCTTGGCGAGGCGGCGGATTTCCCTCGCCGCCTCGACCTTGGACTCCGGATTCTCGGATTTGACGAGGTGGAGCGCTCGGGAGATTGCAGAGGAGGAAGGGGAAGCGGCAGCAGCCGATCCGCGCGGCGTCGAATCGGAGTACTCCGGAGAGGAAGGGGAGAAGCTCGGGCAACTCTCTAGCGACGACGAAGAGGAATCCATCTCTGCCGCTTTAGAGTTGAGCAGTTGCGGCGGCCGGCAAGAGAGGTGGAGGAGGGCGTGTGGTGGGGAAGGTGTTAGAGAGAAATATCAGAGAGAGAGAGAGAGAGAGAGGATTAAAAGGGGAGGAATGGGATTGCGTGGAGAGGCGAAAGGGTTTGGGGGGGAAGAAGGCGTTAAGGAACAGTTAGTTATGTGGAAGGAGGAGGTTGGCTTTTTCTTTCTTTTACGTTTCCTCTCCTCCTTCCACGTGTAGGAGGATATTAGTTTAATTGATTTAACTTGAGAAGAACATAAAGAAAAAAAAGAAAAAAAATACTCTAAAGCACACTCACTATAACTGGTTTACAAGATCTACACATGGTTTTGGTTTTTGGTGTTTTATTTATGTGTACGAGCATGGGATTTTAATTTGGGTTAATTGGCATGGGAGTACTTGAATTTTGTCAAGATTGATATATGTGGTATGAAATTTTGAGAAATACCACTTGTGGCTTATGAGGTGTAATTGTGGTATTTGGATGTCAAGAATAGGTAAAAGTTGAAGTTGCTAATTGGGTCATAGGGACTAATGTGGGGCTGTTTAACAATCTCTCATCTTTGAGTCGATTACGTAAGAACCAGGGACGACAATTACCCACTCACAGGTAATTTTACTCAAACACAAGTAAATTCATTGATGATGGGAAAGGTATGAGTGAAGTCTATATGGGTATGGGGTTTTGTAGATGAGTTTGGGTAGGGTATGTGTATTGCTTTCATATTTTAAATGTGCATGGGTTGGGTATGAATGACCATTTAATTGAAGTTGTTTTAACTATATATACAAAATTGGACCTATTTGTAAAATTTAAAAGTTTAGTTATCAAAATATGAGACACAAGAAATTTATGTACTAGATATTTTTGAGGACTTACATTACATGCAAAAAGAAAAACTGAATGCAGTTTGTTAAAAACCTCTCCTCTTTGAGTCAATTGCTTGATAATTGACACAATGTAGTGTTGCTTGTGAAATGTCTTCTCGTCTTTTTTTCGCTATATTATGCTTTCATGTAAAATATGTAAAAACTACAAGTACTTGAAGTTTGCAAAAAACAACAATAACCCAAAAGAGACAAACACCTGAAAGAGACAAAGGAATTATGTATCGCATATCAAGGTTCTTCATACCAAAAAGGTATATATAACATTAATGTAAACATACAAACCTATTGTAATATAGTAGTTAGTCCAACTCAAATGAACCATTGGAATCCTCGTGATTCGCAATGCATTAGCTACTAACTCAAATAAAATGTTAGGTACAACGAGATCAACTAACATAAATATGAGAACTCAAGTTGAGGTGGAACTACATCTATTTCTCAAATCATCAAGCTTGCAAACCATGATAAATTAAGTGCAAAAGTCGGAATATGTTGAGTGATTCATTTGTATCACCAAATACAATGTCATCGGAGTATCAATGTCTTGATTTGAGTTTTTCATAAAGAGAGTGGTATCAATTGACCCTCTTTTGAACACATTATCCAAAAGATATTTGCTTGATGTTCACATATGACTTAATTAAGGTCATACAAAACCCTTTTTTAGGTTGAAGACATGATTTGGGGAAAATTATATGTGAAGCCATAAGATTGTTCTATGAATACTTCATTCAAGTATTTATTTAAAAAGCTATTTAATAGGTGAATAACCTGAATTCTTACTGCATATTAAGGTTGTCAGTCGGCGGGTTGACCCACGGGTCGACACACTTAATTTAACCCTGCCCCGGTGAGAAAAACGGGCCGCACGCAACCGCCGGGTCGACCACTACAAGATACCTGGTTGGAGGTTAAATTGTGTCATTTTTTTCTTCGGTTTGCGAAATGCCCCTATTCTTTTATTTTTCTTTTCGCCTAACTCAATCTTTGGAATTCTAAGTTGAACATTTGAATATTGATGTTATATAAGTGTGTGTGAATTTTCACTATATGTTGGATCTAAGTACGACATATTATTTTCGTGGATTATTATATGTTATAACTCATATGTTAGATGAGATTTGATATAATTTATCAGGATAAGTACAATATAATGACTCTTTCCATATTTTCGGGCTAGACCGGGCTAAAACGGGTGACCTATTAACCCTTGACCCACAAGTTCGACCGGGTCCGGATTAGCCCGCGGGTTGACAACCTTGCTGCATATGCAAAATTCTTATCAAGCGGGATGTGAAGAAGCTGCAAGCATTTAATAGGTGAATAACCTGCAAGCAGTGGTCCTTGTATCCACGGGATGTGAAGAATGTATTCCTTTATGGGGACTTAGACGAGGTGATTTACATGGAGAGACCTCCTAGCTACATTCTTGGTACTACAAATCAAGTTTGTCGCCTTCATCGGGCCTTGTATGACCTCAAACACACGACGCGCCTGGTTTGACAAGTTTTATTCTACTATTTTCAACTCGAATTCCAACAGAGCTCTAACGATCCTTCTCTCTTTACCCGGACATCCATTGTTGGTGTTGTCGCATTGATCTTATATGTTGATGATATGGTCATCAACGACTCTCATCAGGAGGGTATTCATCAACTTAAGTTTAGTCTTCAAGCTACTTTCAATCTCAAGGATCTTGGAGAGCTCTCTTACTTTATGGGTTTGGAGGTAACTCATAGTACTCAATGACTTCTGCTTAGTCAACAAAAGTACATCTCTGATTTACTTGGCGATTGTCATTTTGGCACCTGCAATCCTGTTGGTACGCTTATGGAGTCTAATATGAAATTAGGACGTGAGTATCGAGAGTTATTGACCAATGCTACTGCATATCATAGTATACTTGGTAGTCTGATCTATTTCTCTATTACTCGTCCAGATATTTCTTATGTTGTGCAGATGGTTAATCAGTTTATGGTAGCTCCTGACATTGATCATCATGTAGTCATTCATTGGATTATGTGATATTGATAGGTCACGCACGATGTGATATCTTCTTTCCTGCTACTGGTTCTTTTGCTTTGGGATCATAATTCTGAATTTGCTGGTTGTATAGACACACGTCGTGCTACTATAGGGTGGTTTTTTCACCTTGATGGGGCGCTCATATCCTAACACGGTAAGAAGCAAGACAAGATATCTAAGTTTTCTACTCAGGTAGAATACCGAGCTATGTCATATGTTCCATCTAAGCTTGTCTGGTTACTTCGTCTTCTAGTTGATTTGCGAGTCACATGCTCTATTCCTATGGGTCTTTTTGTTGATAACACTAGTGCCGTTCGGATTGACGTCAATCATGTGCTCCACAATCTTATAAAGCACATTGAGATCCATGTTCACTATGTTCGTGACCTTGTGAGTGATGGTACCCTATCACTCCACTATGTTCGCACCGAGGATCATATTGCTCACATTTTCACGAAGACTTTCTCTACGTGTCGTTAGTGGAATCTATCAAGCAAATTAATGCTTCGAGACCAACATCCATTTGGAGGAGGCTGTTAGCGGACTGGGCTGTCTTCTTTCCCTTTATTTTACAGCCCAAGCCCATTATGGATTCATATGAGTGAGACTAATTGCTTATGATGTAGTCAAGCTAGGGTTCAATCACCCCTCTCTTCCCCCCTGCTCGTCCTCTGCTTCTGTATATAACCAAATTTGGCTTTCTGCAATGTAGCACACACAACCAGTAAATAAGATTAGTAGTTGAAGGGTGTTTACTCTTTTGTGAATTAGTCCTAGAATTTAGTTTCACAGGTACTGTGAAACTAAACGAATATGAAGAAGGAAACCGCTATTAATCATCAACACAATAAATATCTGCATTACACCAAGTAAAATGAAATACAAACGAGTTCACGAATTAGTGAAATACAAATACTCTAAAAAAAAAATGAAACTACATGGGGACGCGGCCATTTTGAGCCCCCGTTGATTACACGTTGAATTAAGCCGATTTATCACTAACAAATTCCGTAATTAGCTTTTTTTTCCCCTTTTTTCAAAATTACAAGAAAAAGAAAGAGATCTGCCTCAGATGGGAAGGAATTATCGTCTAATCGCTAATTACTCATTAATAATTCCCCCCTAAACACGGACTTCCTCTACCATAAATTGAAATGAATATTAAAAATAATGGGGGAATTAATTGTTGGAAGTTGACTTCCTATGTAATTAATGCTAGTGGGCCCATTCTCCTACTCGTCGTCTTCTTCTTCTTCTTCTCCTTCCGAGCTAGAGTTGGATGAATTCGAAGAGTTCTTGTTGTTCCTGCCTCTGGAGGACGACAGGATCGCATCAATGGCTTCCTTCACCTGCGCGATATCCGGAGCTTTCCCTCCTTGCGCCGGCCAGAACTCGTCCGTCGCCAAAACCTTGACTTGCAGCTGAAGGAACTTCACGTAGCTAATCGCCTTCTCCAGCATCGTAACCAAGTCAACCTATACATATACACAACAACATCGAAGAATATAATAATTATTTAATTTCCAGATCGATCAAGCTCAAAGAAACGAAAACAAGGTCAACATGCACGTATAATTTACCTTAGATCCATTTGGAACCAACTCCTGCAGTACCTTAAGCCGCTCGCTAATCCGCTCTCTCCGATTCTGAATAAACGAAATTCTGATCAGTTAATAATATTGTTTGATAACTTCGTGGAAAAAAAAAATTTCTTCGTTTCGTTAACTACTAATTCACGTTGAGTGGACCTTAGATAAAGACAAAACATTCCCCATATCCGAGAATTGCGTAGAAATGAAGCATATAGATGGATTATATATATATATATAGTACCTTCGCAGCAATGCTCTGTGGGTCCTTGGACGGAGGCGACGAGGACGACGACGGCGAGGGCTTCGCCGCTTTCCCGCCGGACTTGCCGTTGGACTGCTTCTTCTGCGGCGGCTGCGCGCTGTCCCCGGCGCCGGGGCGCTTATTGTGCTTATGGTGGGTGACAGAAGAATCCACATTGTTATTCGCGGCAGCGACGTTAGCGACGGCGTCGTTTTGGAAGGCGCCGCGTCTCGTGGGGACGACGTTGTTGTTGTTATTAATTGCTACGTTCATCGCGTCGTCGTCCCATGGCCCGACGGCGTCGTAGTTGTCCCACGACGAGGAGTGGTCGAAGGTGAGGAGGCCGGGGCCGGCTTGGAAGTCGATGAGATTGTTGTTG